AATATTCTCATTTAAAGGTTTTATTTCTTCGGTAATTCCTTGTACACGTAACGGTATTTTAAAGTTTAATTGATCCTTATTTGAAACTTTCGATGTTTCCGTTACCTGGTCTAATTCGGAATCCGGCACAAAATGTTTCGAATGGTCTACTGGCGATGACGAATGGTCACTTTCTTTTAAGGTTACTTCCGTACCGTTATTTTTTCCTGGGGTGGTCTGTAATAGTTATACACCGAGGGATAGGTGTGTCTGGATAAGAAACCCCGACGGCCGGAGGTTGTATAACTAACTTACACCCAATGCTTAACCCTATATTTGTTAACATTGATTATTAAATGAAAAAGAATGGATAGCATATTTATTGACAAAATCGAACCATGAATAATAAGAAAAATATTTTTTTTTTACATGAAACCCCACAAGTATCCTTACTTTGGCTATGTTCTTTCAAACTTTGACAAGTGAGTAGTTTTTACAAATGTCAAAGTTGCTGTTTTGCATATTCCCGTTAAATCCTGGTGCTAATATGGATCAGAAATTCAAGGTTGACCGTTTCGTGCATTCTTATCACAAAAAAAAATACTTCATGCTCCTTGTATGCAGTTGTCAATATGGACGGGTATAAGACGGACGACATTTTGAGTCAAGCGTTGGATTTGGTAGAAGAGACTAAAGATAAAGGCAATATTATAACTCAAACTGGTCAAAGTACTTACCTGTATCAGTTTAATGAAGGTAATCATAAATGTATTTTTTTATGTTACGGTTTTATAAAAAGAAAGAAGCCCCCCCCCCCTTTCTCGACAATAAACAAACATTCATATACGGACACACCGAGGGATAGGTGTTTCTGGATTAGAAACCCGACGACCGGGATCCAGGGGGGGGGGGGGGGAGGTGTGGTATGGTTTTTTTTCTCGCAAATTGCGAACAATTTTATCTAGTTTTTCAATGCTATCAATCAAATTATTTTTCCCTAGAAGGATTTTTTTATTCAAAATAGATGCTCAATATTTTTTTCGCTATTGGAATTTCCTAAAATGTTTTTTTACAATCTTGAAACAACTTGCAGTGAACACTATTAGTAATTTCTTATGTTCATGCTATTTAAAGAATAATCAATTTCTATTGTAATGAATAACAATGGACTTTGTTTTCGGGATGTAGATGCAGGGGTTTCCAGAAACCCCGCTCGTCACACCCTGTGGTCAAAATCCATTGTTATTCGTAACAATAGATCTATTCAATTTACACTTAGCACATACTTACAACTTCTCGTCCAATCAAATTGCTTATATTTGCCTTCTAATTTTCATAGTACATACTTTTCCCGTGTACTAAGTAACTACGCATGAATGACCACAAGGGTAAGATTTCATTGTATCATAATCAAGATATTTAAAACAAAAATTGCCGCTGGCTATTTTGAAATAAAATGCTGTGTTCCAAATTAAATTAAATAGTTTGTAATTAGTTTTCATGTTGATTTTTAAATATCCTGCTATTAAAATCTTTAGAATATAGCAAAGTACTCTCGACCAATGAAATTGTAGGATTGGATGCCTCTTTATTGTGAAGAATGAATGTAAGTCATGTTCTTAGTAAGGGATTATCCTATTATTTGGGTCTATTTACAGTTTAAAACGAAGAGTTTCTATAAATGAGTTTCAACTGCCCCGAAGCACATTTATCAGATTGAAAGGATTTACCACACAGTGATTGAAACTGACTAAAAGTTGAATTGTGAAACAAACAAAAATCTCAAAATAAGTTGAAGTTTACTGGTGCAGTAAAATTGGTACCGTGAATTTTATTATGAAAATATTAATAACTTCAAATTACTATAAAATTACTAGTAAACCATACCAAAGCAATGCAAAAAAAAAAAGAAAAAAATCTTTCAGATAAAAAATAACCTAAATCTTTAGCTTTCCAAAATTTTGATTACTTGATCAGCGGTTGGGGAGAATAGTTATTTCCAATACATGTATTCCGATAAAAAAAACCAGGAATTTAATTTTGAACATATTAAAAGCTTTTAAGGGCATTATTTTTGAACATTTCCCTGACATAATGAAACAGTATTTGATGTAAAAAGCCGGACCAAATTATTGGCTGTGAAATAAAATTTAGTTGTAACTCAAATGCATTTTCAATTGATTCAAACTGTAAATAAAAAAAGGATAATTCCTCACTGAAATATTACATGATTTACATTCATACTCACAATCAGGAAACATACAATTCCTACCTTTTCTTTCTACTGTTGTGTCACCTAATATCTATAACGCATTTTTTTTTTTAAATATTTCCCAAATGATAAGAAAGTCCTCACATCACTAAAACTAATCCATAAATGACATGCTGAAAAAGGAAGTCATGCATCAATTATAAATTTTGCACTGACAATGAAACTAATTCTTGAATAGATCATTTGAACCTTGAGCACTTTACAATATTCTAAGTTTGTAAGAGAATGATAATCCCTTACTTCATGATACTCGCTAACGCTCGTACTTATTCATGAAGAAAGGGATTATCATTCTCTTACATATACTTGGATCTAAAAAATGTTTTTGACAATTGCTATTTCTTTCATTTAAATAAAGGGTAATACATATGGTTCGTTATATCTTGATTAGAGTACAACGATATCTTAAAATTATGATAATGTAATAATGTATCATCCATGCAATTACTTTGTACACAAAAAAGTGTGTACTATGAACCTTGTGAAGGGAAATTAAAGCAACTTTGTGATAATTTTTTAAACTTTCTTAAGGAAGGTGATCTATTTCGTCATGAATTGATTGATTTATTGAATATTTCATGCATGTTCAGGACGATGTCATATATTGAAAAACTGTGATTATGTCTGAAGATAATGTGCCAATTATATATATAAACATATCCTGATAAATCTTTTAGTTTTTACTTTGAAATAATAAAAAAAAACACAAAAAAAACACACAAAACCTATAATCTCTGATCTATTGGTAGTTGCTTTTTAATGCCTATCTGCTAGACTATATCTATGTGGACAAACTATCTATATGTTTCAAATTTATTATAGCTTTAGTTTTTAGTGAAATTAAAAGATGTTTTCAAAACATGTAAAGCTTCCACTGCAATTTAATTATTGCCTGCTTTTGGTCAATTTATTTGGTCATCTTACCATGTAAGAAGAACATGTATAGTAAAACACCGCTTTATATCAATATACATACTTACACCAGCAGCTACCATCTTTTCATTCTTGAGTCAAGGGCCTTTTGAAATCACATATTGTACAATGATACTAGTGAGTAGATTTACAAAACTTCGTTAATGAGCTCCGTTTTACAAACACCTGTGATACAAGTAGTCAGCCAAAAATAAACTATCAATAGACCAATTAAAAGATTACTCGAGTTGTAAATATGTGCTAAATTGGATAGTCTATGAAAAGGTATATACTATGAAATTAAGAGCTCGGGGCAAGCCCCTCGCTCTAAATTTCATAGTATATACCTTTTTATAGACTAACCTAGACTTGTTTCAGAAATAGAAACTATGAAGTATAACAATAGAACTGGGGTGTAAGTACATTTAAATGTTCATTGATCTGAGACTTTTTCGTGTCCACAGAGTGTAACGACGTGCTGACATTTAACTCACCAGAGGCTCTTACGGGAGAAGTTATCGATGCGTAAGGAGGTTTAGCAATTAATTATCTTAGTTCGTTCAATGTCTTTTGCATTACCGATTGAAATTTGTTATGTCTATCTAGTTCGCTATTCAAAGTCTTTATATCTTTCTGAAAGTTATTCAGATCAAAATCATCTAATGTTTTTGTCGACTGGGACAGCACTTTAAATTTGGCATCGTTTTGTGTTGATTTTCACTCGTAGTCCCTTAAATGAGTAACGAGTTGTTCATTTAAATCTAAATATTGCGTACGAAGTTTGTTTTTTTCAGTTTGTAAGATTTTAATGACTTTTTCATTTTTCTGGTCTGATTTTTATAGTTCGGACACTCTTTCTAATAAAATATGAATATTTGCGCGCATCTCGATAATTCCATTAGAAACTACTTCGCTGTTATGATCAACAACACTTAATTTATTGTCATCTTTTCTGAAGAATATTTGCGTTTTATCACCTTGCAGGAACATATATAGGATATAGCAATCCCTAGCATATTTAGACGTAGAAGTGCTTTTCGTCGTAGACTTTCTGTTGAAAAGTTTCAAGACACCCCTGTATAGATTTTGCTTGTAGTAAGGTTTCCGAACACGTGGAATTCTGCTTGAAGATACTGTCTTACTGCTTGTGGTAAAGTTTCACAACGCATTGTATATTCTCACTGCTTGTAGTAAAATGTCACTATTTCAATACAAAATTAACATTATTGTATATAGATATAAGAAGATGTGATATGAGTGCATTGATAATTCAGCGAAACATGGAAATATATGTTCATAAAACAAATCAAATAAAGGAATTGGAACATATGTAAAATTCCTTTATCGAAAAAGGTTTGAAGGCTAGGAAATTAAATGGAAATATTCTATTAATGTTATGAACTGCACAGAAATACTTTATGAATAAAATAATTCGATTATTCTTTTCTGTAATATTGTCCTTAGTTTCCTATTCAAACGTTATTAACCTTTTATAATGTACTTTAATGATGTGACAAAAAAGATAAATAAAAAAATACCGAAAAAAATTCAAAACGGAGAGTCCATTCTCAAATGGCAAATCAAAAGCTCAAACATATCAAACGGATGTTTACATTGTACTACTTTGATACCAAATCTAATGTTGTAAAGAAGAAACATAAAAATTAAAACTTTAAAATGAACTCCTTGTGTGTATACAAACAAAATTTAAATATCGTCACACTATATGGGCACGAAATTCCGACAAGGAAACTGGTATCCTGATTTTGTTTTTTACAAGTTCATTATACCTATGATTCATATGTTTTTTTGTAGTCATATAGTTCCGACAAGGAAATCTGTATCCTTATCTCAATATAAAACGTTCATATCTCCAGTTTTGATATTAGACCTCTAAGTTCCATACATATATGTTGTTCATTAAGGAAGATTTCTGAAGAATAACTATGTCAATATTGAGTTAAACAGCACTGATTGGTTTGTTTGTTGGTATTACTTATGGAGTGGGTGACAGAATGATTTATGACATCTCTGCACAGGTATGTTTTTCAATGGCATCTCATTACATATCATGGAATGTTAGCTGCCAAAATTCCAAATATCTACATACTTTTAAATTAATCTATTTTCAATCGATGATTAAATTGTAAAAAATAACGATAGGTGAGTGCGTCTTTTGTGATGCATTATCTGTTTTTGATAAGATTTCTAGCGGGAAAGATTTTACTGATTATATCGTATGAACGTTAAATTCTACGTTAAAAATATTTTTATGGTTAACTTGCCTTGTTCGTCAATCTTGCATTTTTACTCTTTAATTACATTTTTACTCTTTTCATTTTGTCTGTTAATTTTATTAAAAGTAAGGGAATTATATCATAAAAAGCAAGGCCAAAAAACTGGTTCTTTATAAGCTTCGATTGTGCTATATCTATTTTATGGCAGTTTGTGTTAAAACTATATTTTAGTAGTATTGGATTTCATGATTCAGTTTAGCACCCACAGTGATAAAGATTTTTTAGGCAGCCATCGTGTCTAAGGTCTAACTTAGCATCTATCGTGTTAAACCTATGTTTAAGTCATTAGACAACATTGTCAAAATGCACTTCTGTTGCAGTAAAATCGGTACTATTACTGTTATTCCTATCACATGATCAATAACGCTGCTAGCAGATTGTTTTTCTCCCAATGTACCACCAGCACAGTAGTTCAGAAATATTTTACTGAGTCAGACATGAAAATGCGAGTATATTTTTTTGAAATTTCCTGTTATCATGGTTATAGATTCCAAACATCTATTACTTCCAATAAATGTGTCCTATTCGTGCATACCTTTTATTCTTTATCCGACATTGGCTTTATATAATGGTATGATTTGTTATATCAGCTTTTCCAATTCAAATTAATTTTAGATTTTTATATTTGTATTTACCTAGATAGAGCGTCACGTCAAATGTTTTTTTGGTGCTATCAAATTTGAACCGTTAATGTTATCAGCACCAAACGTGTCTAAGATTTTGTTAAGCACATATCCTGTTAAAGCTCGATTTTAGCATTCATTGTGTTAAAAGATTCATTTGGAAATCTGTAACTCACTATATTTCTCAAGCAACTTATTTTCCCGACAATCCCGAGAGAAAACAAATTATTCAAATATTAAAAATATGATCTTTTTCTAATAAGAAATTCATCCACGAAGTAAGTAAATCGCAGAAATAAATTTAAAAATATTAATTTAATTTTGAAAATTGCAATTTATACTTTTACTGTTTAAACGAATTTTCTTTTCAGGCAAAGTGTACTGAGATCACAAGAGGTCCTACGAGGGACTGCAGATGGCCCGCAGGGATGAATATGCAAGTGGATCAGGTCGCAGCTGGAGGGAAGATTGCTGCATACAAAATTCGATGGTTTAGTGGTGCCTGGAGTAACTGGTACGTCCCAGGGTACAACGACATGGACTGGAAAATCAACCTTAACAACATAAGATGTTCAATGCCGTACAAAGCCAACAGTCTAAGACGGGTGTGGTCATACTTCTACGACCACACACACAAATTTATAGTTTGCAAGGCTTAGAAATGGTGGACAAAAGATCCATTTAATCATAATTTAAGATGTAATATATTAATTTTTGTTATTCATTTACATAACCGGTCGTGTTTTTTGTCATATCTGTATTCAGTCTGTAGACAGCTCATCCTTGCCCACACAACTCTAAGCTCAACTAATGTAACAATGCGTGTAAGAAATAAAAAAAAAGCTTTACAATTGTCCTCGTGTATCGTTCCTGTAACTCCTTTGACAACAGAAAAATAATTCTGTAATAAGACAAGACAGAGTACCTCTTAAACTCTGTGTGCACATAATAAACCGTGGTTTAGTGAAAAATGACAATCTCCACCTGGGGTGTAGGGTCAATATGAAGGGTTTGGCCTTTAAATACTGAAAAGTTAATGGAGAATTACATATTGTCATTTATAACATCACTAACTGCGACTTTGAATCACGTAGTTTTAAGATATAGAGATTTGCCGATGAGACAACTACTACCAGTACAGAGACAAAAGGTTGACAATATAAACAAGCTGCAATTCGAAGTAATCAACGTTGTTTGTCTACCGTTCGTGTACTTGCAGCTGACCTTCAATATATCGAAAAAACGAAATTATTACTAATTTGAAAAAAGGAGTTTTCATTATACATTGTGCATTTTAATGTTTGATAGAATATGAAACTATATATCATTCTCCAATTAATCAGTTGATTGTAATAACTATAATAGAGATTTAATATATAGCTTATGAGCTATCTTCTTTGAAATCGCCATCTTCATTATGCAAATGTCACTCATATGACATGCACAGATATAGTTGGTTCAACGTTGTGTGATATTGCTTCATTTACCTATAGTTTAATTTTCTGTCGTAGTTTTGTGATAGAAACATTAGTTTTGGATTCAAAAGGTTAAAATTATATTAAGGTGGTACCAAACACCTTGACATAAATTTTGACAAAATATTAACTTTGACCCTTTGACAAAAATATAAAAATTTCAAAAAACTTGAACCACACTTTATCGAAAAAATGTCATTGGATATATAGCAGTTTGACAAACACTAATTTTGATCATGGAGAAGCTTACTATTTCCTCAACAAAAGAACGACGTGATTAAAACGTTCAGTTGATTTTTACAGAGTTGTCTCCCTGTAGTGTTATGTACCACCTTAATATGATATTTTGAAGATCTATTGATATAAATGCAGTAGAGAGGTGTTTGATATAAAAAAAAAAACTTAATACTCATAGCTGTGAGACTTATCACCAACGTTGTACTTGCATGAGAAACAGGACTGGTGCTTCATATTGAGCAGGACCTGTTAAGCATTCCGGAATAACTCAATTCACCCCCAATTTCTTGTGGAGTTCTTAAGTCTTATATTTATTGTTTTGTGGACTTGTTCTTCTTTCATTGTTTCTCGCTTTTTTTTCCATGGCGTTGTTATAAAAATAAGGAGATGTGGTATGATTGCCAACGAGACAACTATCCACAAAGGTTGAAATAAAGTGAATGTAAGCAATAATAGTCAACCGTACGGCCTTCAACCATGAGAAAAACCCATACCGTATCGTCGGCTATAAAAGGCCCCGACATGAAAAAATGAAACAATTCATGATCAATTGAGAAAACTAACGGCCTAGTTTATAACAAAACAATTTACGAAAAACAAATATGACAGTTTTTCTTTAACATGAGTTTTGAATGTCCTTTGGTATCTCCCGTCTCTTTTTTTTTCAGAGAAGCAGCGTACACACACTATAAATATATCATTGAAATGTACACTTTGAACGATTCAATGAGAGGATGTAGTCTGTAGTCTGTAGTTGTTAAACCGGTATTCAACGAAAAAACAACCTTGGTAGAAACTTCCAAAAAATACAGAATATAGAAACTCGCCCAATCTTACATTATGAATGAATTTCGACACGTACAGTCATGTGTGTTAAACAGTCATCAGATTGTTAACTGCAATGTTATTTTCAAACGAATTGTATCATATGTATAATAATGATATACGTTACGGATGCACAAGCTTGCAATTATATTCTTTCTGATACCAATCTTAATTAAAAAATATATATTTGCGCAACCAAATTAAACAATTCTTATAATAATATCGATATAGTAAAAAAAGTCAAGAATATATCAATCTATGCTCCATCGAGGTGTGATTCAAGATGGTTATTGCACTTTAAGAAGGATTGGTGTCCGGGATAATTACATATTTCGATGCAAAAGATATGTGTAGACACTTAAATTCGCTTATCTGTCCAAACTGCTCTGAACCAATATCACTTATATATTTCGTTTCTATATTTTTAGGATTGAAACGTGTTTTAGGGCCTACCAGGCAATCTGAACGAAGGATCGAACAATATTTTACATAGCACGATTTTAATCTTATAATTTTACATTTGGGACTGCTTTCCATTTAATATAAATGAAGATAATTATTTTAAAAGCAACAACAGAATACACAAAAAAAAACATTTTTTATTTTTTTCATGAAATTTGAATATATTTATATATATTGCCAAATAACGCATTTTAATTTTAAAAGAAATCTTATGATATGTAAAACATTAAATGATAATGACATAATCTGAAGCGGAAGTGGATATCCTGAACAAAATTGTTAAAGTACATCGTAACGAGTTCAACTTCCGAAAAAATTAAAAGTTTTAATGTAATTTCAGTCTAGGCACATTTTACACGATACTGCATCCTTGTTGTGTTTACAAATGTATTTAATTATTCTGTGGCCTTATACATATATATGAAAGTAAGTTGTAATAGAAGAATTTTCAAGTACGTGTGTGTACGTCCAAAAGTCAATGAGTCCACGTATAGTCATCTTGATTTCGCAATAACCCGTTGCATTCTTGGAAGTTTTTGTTCACTAAGACAACTGTATTAAGTTTGTCAAATAGATCCCATTGGAAGAATGGGGAAAAATACAAACAAAAGTTACCACTCTTTTCAAATATAGTTGAAATCAATGATTGGTTTAAGACCAAAATAACTCACAAAAATAAACTCAGTTAGACCTTCAACAATGAAAAGGCGTCAACATCTAAAACTTCGAAACATTCGAGACTCTTCTAAATTTAACAAAGACGGAAATCTTATCAGCAGAAATACTCGTGTGTATATAATGAACATGGACAAAATAAAATACCTAAAATACAATTAGAAGCGCCTTTCTGGATTTACCTTCATCAGGAACGCCCAAACCCGAATGTTTGAAAACCAAGGATGTATAAGAACCTTAACAGTTGAAGAGTTATATGACCAAAAAGGACCATAAAATAGCCAAATAAAGCTAGGTCAATGATGTAATACGGAATTAGAAACTCGCTCGATTTATTTGTGGGAATTTCTGGCAAAAATTCAAATTCCGTCTGCTCTAGTCTGTATTGTTACAATGAACCAAAGGAGTTTTAAAGCTTGAAGCCATTTTTAGGAGTGGAAATTTGAGAATGAAAATCCATATAACTGTTATTTTCAAGAAATTTTCAAAGTCAAAAGCCCAAAAGTAAAAATCAATGGAGCGAGACCAAACGTACGCTCGATCTGTAACTCACCACAGAAGACTCACATACTAAAAATCAGCTCAATATGTGAGCTGCGTCGGATCGAAATCGACCTTATGCAAGTGCACGTTTACATGTACATGTATAAGGCTTTGATTGATTTTGGAACATTCAAATACGAAATAAAAGGTGAATTTTTGTCTGCTATGTAAGTTTCTTATATCAACTCAATTTTCAAAATTGTGAGGCGTTTAGAAAAACAAGTCCGTATAACTGTTATTTTCACAAAAAGTCCAAAGCCCTTTGTTTCGGCAAAAATTAGCAAAGCGGAAACAAACGTAAACTCGATCTGGAAATTTTCATAGTAGACTCACATATTAAAAATCAGCTCAATACGTGTAGGCGTTTAGAAAAAAAAAGTCCGTATAACTGCTATTTTCAAGAAATTTTCAAAGTCCAAAGCCTGTACTTTCGGATTATTCAGCGGAGCGGAACCTAAGGTAAACTCGATCTGTAACTCATCAAAGTAGTCTCACATATTACAAATCAGCTCAATATGTGAAGGCGTTTAGAAAAAAGTCCGTATAACTGTTATTTTCATGAGATTTTCAAAGTCCAAAGCCCGTAATTTCGGCAAAAAACAGCGGAGTGGAACCAAATGCATACTCGATCTGTAACTCATCATAGTAGACTCACATACTAAAAATCAGCATAATAGGTGAAGGCGTTTAGAAAAAAAGTCTGTATTAATGCTATTTTCTCGAAATTTTCGAAGTCCAAATCCGTAAATTCGGTACAAATCAGCGGAGCGGAACCAAACGTAAACTCGATCTGTAACTCATCATAGTGTACTCACATACTATAAATCTGATCAATATGCGAATGTGTTTAGAAAAAAGTCCGTATAACGGTTCGTTGCGAAAAGACGGAATAACGGATAAGGGTAAAATTATATGGCCCGACAACTTTGTTGCGGGGCCATAAAAAACTTTGTTGACCTTCACATAAATTACCTTTACTAAATTAGATTGTAAAATTAAAAAAACTTAAAAATTCAGTTATTTTAAATTGAAAGTAAACAAAACAAGTGCAAATATTAAGACATTGTCTTTGTTCAAAATTTTCGTTTATTTGACATTGTTTGACGTTCATTTAAAATGTGTGTTTCATGTCGGGGAATTTATTAGCTATGCGGTATCCTCATTGTTGAAAGTCGTACGGTGACGTATACTTGCAAACATCTACGTCATTTGGTAGCTGGTGGATAGTTGTCTCAGTGGCAATCATACCTCATCTCCTTTTTTATATCAAGCGTACGAAATGTTTCTAGAATAGAGAAAAGTGAAGCTTTAAATTCTAATAAAAAAAAACTAGAGTATTTGTGTACTAAAAAGTTATAAAAAAACAAACTTTGTCTTTGTGGTTCTCTCCAGGCACTCCGGCTTCCTCCACCAAAACTGACCTCCACGAAATAGCACAATACTGTTGAAAGTGGCGTTAAACACCAATCAATCAATAAATTCATAAAATATGTACATATACGTGTATATGTGGTTTCAAAATGAGTTTTTGATGTGCAGCCGGAATTTTAAAAACACCCCCTATTCATATATTGAAGTCTTGTGAAATCACGACCCATAAAAATATTACATGGCAAAAACAGTACCCTTTCATTTATCC